GAGGGGGAGGGGGAGGGGGGACCCCCAGCACCGCCACCTCCCGGGCCGTGACCGTCCTGCGGAGCGGCACACTAGCGCGCCTGATGACGGCGCTGCCCGCCTTCGCGCAGGCCGAGGCGGGGTCGGACGCGGGGCTCGTCGGCCCCTACGAGGAAAGCAGCCTCGTGGCCTTCCTCGGCGCCCTCCACGGCGCCAGTGGGGCACAAGGCCTGCCGTTAGGGCCCCTCCTCGAGGCCCTCCTGCAGGCCCACGGCGTGGACTCAAGAACCCCCCCCCCTCCCTCCTCTTCCTGGCCTCCGTTGCCGTTCCCTCCCCGGTTCCAACGACAGTCCTTCCTGCTACAATGACGCACACCCCTGTTGCAACAACAGCCCCTTCTGTTGCAACAACACACACCCCTGTTACAACGACAACCCCTCCTGTTCCAACAGGCCCCACGGCCACCGGGAGGCGGAAAAGCCTGCCGTTAACGGGCGGGAGACGGGCACTGCGGCCGCGTCGCAGCCGCTGGGGCGCCGAGGACATGAGCTTGCCGGAGAACGGGGTGAGCGGCGCCGGCAGCGAGGACCTCACGCTGCTGCAGCCTTTCCTCTCCGTGAATAACATCATCGGGGGGATGATTTACTATATCCCGTTCGTCGAATCCCGCGTGGAGTTCTTTCGGCGACGGAGTTTGGAGTGTGCGATGGCGAACGACAAGGCCACAGGGGGGGGGGCAGGGTCAAACCTTCCGCAATCGAACTCGCACAGTTCAGGGCGGCACCTCAGTGTGCTCCCTGGCGTGCCCACCGATTTTGTCGACGATGAAACCGACGCGATGATGTGGTTCCGCCGAATGCAGAAAGCAGAAGATCATCTCAAAAGACTGTTAGCCGCATCACAGAAGAGCGGAAAGTCTCAAGTAGAGATAGGCGCCGTGATTGACATATTGTGAGGTGGTGGTTAATATTTGGCTTTCCTCGGTCACACAACGGAAGCGTCGAAGGCTTCCGTTTCCAAGGGATGTGAGTATTGCCGTTAGTGTGTTAGATAGTCTATCCCGTGTTTCCAATGAATTAGCGTACAAAGATCGACGCGTGTGGTAGAGAGTGATATGGAATTCATGTAAACATTATGTATTTGAATTTAAAATAAATCAATACGTTTATTTAACTTTGGTCTCTCTCTTTTTTTTATTTTTCTTTAAATTCTTACCACGCAACAGAAACGTGTGTGGTAGGCAAGCCAATGAGGCGAGAAGAAAAAAAGGAAAATCAGATACTACCATATCTATGGGCTTTTTCATGATGTAGGGAAATTTGTTGTCTTGAATGCAGCGTGTGAATTCTAATCATTCTTCTTTACGTCAGTTATTGAAAGTAACTTAAGGGATTTATAAATACCACCTTACTTCGCATATATTAATATTTATATTCTCTACATATGATTTTACGTCCATACATGCGCCATATATGGAGCGCCACAACGGCACGGCAAGGAGGAATCCGATCAGCATTTGCGCTGATAAGTGCTCATGTTTCCTGCCGTCAAGTAGCCTCGAAAAGCACCGAAAGCGATGGAAGCGCAGCCAAAGGGAACTTCTTTGCCTTCTTTGACATACCCAAGCAGCCTATGGTCGACCTAGTGGATCTTCAGAAACGCTACTACGCCTTGCAGAGCCGTGTTCATCCGGACCAGGCGGCGGTCATGTCTTCTTTAGATCAAAGCCAAGTCAATGACGCTACGGACATTTCGGTATACGCAAACTCGGCGTACGAAACCCTTCGAAATCCGTTCCGTCGCTGTAAATACCTCTATCGAATCCTCCTCGCACAAGAGTACAAGGGTGGCGAGCCTCTCACCCCCGAGGAAGAGGACGACCTTCTTGTGGAGGATGATAAGCGAAACATGATGCACAGTGGAAAAGCAACTAGTGAGGAGCTAAACGAGGAATTCATGATTGAGTTAATGGCCATGAATGAGCTCATTTTCTCCTCAGATCTCGACGACTCGAGTGCGCGCGCGCGATTGGAGGTCTTACAATACGACCTGAAGGAGCGCAACGCCGACTACTTTGATAAAGCGAAGGAGTCATGGTACGCAGAGGATACGGTGAATTTCAAACGATTGGTTCAAGAGTGGACGTATATTCATAACGCACTTGCCCATTTGAAGGAACGCTTATAGAAAGCTGTACCAATAAAAGGCATGGCGTGAGAGTCTTGACGAGGCGTCTATTCCAGTCCAAACCAACCCGAAATGCTGAAGTATTCATGCTTGTTTATCAAACCGTAGTATGACTTCCTCGCTTCCCTGCAATTTCAGAACTCTCACGAAACCTCCAGGCGTATGTGAAAGGGGCGATAACTCTCAGTGTCATTCATTATTCACTCGGCGTCCCTTAAATCTTCCTCACCTCTCCCTCTCCTTTGATTCGTTCGTTTTCGATACAGTGGAATTCCCGTTTGTTGGTGAAATGAAAGCAGCAATCGCCAGCTGAAGCCGATTCACAGCGATCATTCATAAATAAAGCGCAAGGGGTTTTTTCTATCGCTAAAATGGAATGCGAAGCGACACAAAGTGTCGCCCACGCACGATTTTTTCGTTTCTTCTATGATCAATTCCTCGGCTAAATGCGTCCTTTTGGGTAGTTATTTTTTTTCTCTCTTTTCGATCGAGAAGAAAAAACGTGAAAAAGTTAAAGTGAACAATATAAATATATTCTTTTACTTTATTCCATTTTTTCCTTTGTCCGTGTGGCCCATTTCTTGGAGTTGTACATATCGTGATATTACCGCGAGATGATGAAAACCAATGTCGGTATGTGCAATCGTACAGCTACGTGCATAACGAACTGGAGAAGAGGGAGTGATTGAGGGCGAAGGCGATGGTCACCGACGCTCAATTTTTCTCTTTCGCTCAGGGCCAGATTCTCCAAGCCCACAACAAGACAACCACGTGGTATTTACGCTGTTTTTTATTTTTGCTCAACTATCTATTATACCAGTACTTGACTAGTGCGTCAACATAAAAGGTCGGATTTAATCATTTTCCTTTTCCGTTCACAGCGATAAGCGTCCCTGTCAGAACCCTGTTGGCCCCCTTGCGGGGCCCTGTAAAGCAACCCGTCGATGTCCTTGCCTCAACTTCCCTTCTTTCTCCTTATGTTACGCCTCTTAGTCAACGATCCTTGTGTGCCCCCCCCCCCCCCCCCCCCTCTTCCCCAAAGCGGGTGCATTTATTCGCAAACTTATCCACATCCCCACCTGCCGGGATGCCCGGCAAAGCCAAACCCAAGAGACCCAAGGAGCTCTTCAATCCCTTTGACCGCCTGACCCGCTACACCTCCCCCCTCCCCAGCGACGCCCCCCCTCCCGGCCCCGAGGACGTCTTCCCCGCCGAGTTCCTCGACGCCTCGCTTGGGATCTTCCCTCCTCTTCCGCAGGTGAATGTTCTGCTGACGGTTAAATTCCGCTGCTCCGTGACGCTGTCCTGCGGGGATGTCCTGCTGATTCACCTCCCGGGTTTCCGCGGGAAGCCCGCCCGGCCCTTCGCCCTCGGGACCCCCCTTCACGCCGAGGCCCTCCGCCCCTCGGACCACCTCCTCGCCTACTGGTCCGGCGAGGCCAAACTAAAGAAAAAAGGGGTGGTGAACCTCCCGCCAAAGCAAGTCCTGCTCCTTCGCTGCGTGCGGGGGATTGAGGAGAATTTGCTGGTGCATTTTACCGTCCCGGCGGCCCTTGGTTTGGTCAGCCCGGACCGCCTCGCGGCGAATTCGGAGCGAATCAAACTCGAGGGCCGCGTCGTGCGCCGCGCGGAGGGCGGGGCGATCCCTCGCCAGCCCTTCCACGCCGTCTCAGAACTGCGCAAGACCGGCCTGGTGGACGAGCTCCAGCTCTACGAGGTGGCGATGCACAAAATCGTGCAGAAGTCCCACATCCGCAAGCCGGACTTCGCCGTCGTCGAGGAGCTTTCGCCGGAGGAGTGGGAGCAGCTGCGGGGGGCGGCGCAGCACCTTCGGCCCTACCCAATTCCCCCCGTCTGGGCGATCCTGCCGGAGCTTCGGACGGGCTACGACGACGGCCGGTTGTTTACTCGCGCCGTGATGGAGAGCGCGATGCGCTTTGTTAAGCGCGCGGACCCCCTCGCCCTGCACGCCGAGGTCGCGCGGAATTGGGGGGTCAAAGTCGCCGCCCTGCTCGTGCTGGAGGAGCTTCTTGTCCTGCAGGGCGGCGGGGGTGGCGGGGGCTACGCAGGCCTCCCTCGCAGCGCCCTGCTGGCCCTGCATTTGCTGACGATGGGGCCCGCCGACGTCGCGCGGAGCTTCCCAAGCGCGACGGCCCCGCGCTTCACCATCCTCCACGAGCTCCAGAGCGCGAGCCGGATGCAGGAGACGCTGGGGCCCGCCGCCCCCGCCGTCCCCGCCGCTGCCGCTATGGCCCCGGCGGGGGGGAATTCGCCGCCGGAGGCCGCGATGGAGATCGCGGGGGAGGTGCTGCCGAGCTACGCGGGCCGGATTTTGACGAAGTGGACCGCCCTCATCTCCATTTTGCTCACCTGCCGGATGGTGGTGGGCGGGGAGGGGGCGGGGCGGGCGAACCCCCCGCCCTCCTCCCGCGCCTCCACCAGCCCAGGGGTGAAGACCCCGCGAGGGGAACGGGAGAAGGAAAAAGAAACGGACAAAAAGAAGGAAAAGGAGAAGGAAAAGCGCAGCCTCTCGCACCGCTCGAGCGGGGCCAAACCCACCATCCGCTTCAACCCCACCCCGCAGTTGATGACGGGAGGGGGGGGCCTCCTCCCCCCTTCCCCGCCCGGGGCGGCTGAAGGGGGGGAACACGGCCTGACAGGCCGCCTGCTGCCGCCGCCGCCGCTCTACTTCGGCCTGCGCGAGGTCGCCGCGGAGGACCTTCGCCGGCTTCAGGCCCTCCGCGAGGACGGCGAGGGCGGCGCGGGGGAGGCGAAGGGGTGGGTCGTCTTCCCCGGCTTCACCCTCGCGCGGGAGCAGCCCCCCCTCTCCCTCCACCGGCCCCGCGCCGTCTCGCTCGACGGCGGGAGCGAATCCACCACCACCACGACGGAACCCGCGCGCGGCGGGGCGGGG